AGATAAAACGGAGCTTTAACTGTTCTCCCGTAACAAAAGTCCAGAGAGCAAGCACCTCCGACCAGCAGCATGAGGCAGAGAAAGCAAACACTGTACTCTCCAAAGGTCCTGTATATCAACCAGGGCCAGGGCTAGGTTGGCTAGGTTTAGTTTTTCTAGAACCGAGCCCAGTTCCCCAACCAATCAGCCAAGACCAAATCTTCCCCAATTCTGTTCCTCCTTTCTCCTCACTCTTGGGACACGCTCCCTGCAGCCACATAAACTTGTTTGTTGTTGCCCAAGGATGTTTTGAATTTTGCTGCCTAAGATGGGCTTTGAGATTGTCAAAGGGTTCTTCCTTTTCTTCTTCCTACTAGTCCATTGCCTTCCCTGATGTTCTGCTCAAAATACATCTCCTTCAGAAAGACGGGAAACGGAAGAGGGGCGGGACACTACAAGGGTTGCTGACCAAAGTTCCACTTACCTCGAAGCAGCAAAGTCAGTGATGCCCACAGCCCTGCCACCGTTCCTCGGATGTTTTCAGGAGGTGGGACGTCCTTGGTGCTTCCGGTGAGTTTGGGGCAGGAGGCAAAATAACAAAAACCTCAGTTGGCTAGAGCCAATAAGGCTGGGGGCCTGGGACAAATGTGGCGTGTTCTACAGCATGGGAAACAGTATGAAATGACTTCAAACCTGAACCTTGAGAAAAATGACCGCAGAAACCCATTATACGACCCTTTCTTAAATGTCCACACTAGTGAAAATGTAGCTAATCTACAGTTACAAGCCACCGAGGGGGTCTTTATCATTTCTCCCAGAGAAAGTAGGATGATAGGTGAAACTTGTTGCTGCATTACGAACGAGATCCGGGTATTTGTAGCTTTGTAGTCCTTCCCAAGCTAAAAACGGTTAAAATCTAGTCGTTACGGCAGTGATTTGTGGTTGTGGAATGCCATCCTGAGTCCCTTCTTTCCATATGTGAATTAATATTCGCATATTATTCGCAGGATAGCTGTGGTTCTTTCCATTCATTCCATGGAATTCAGAAAGATTCGGTTACTCTTACGCAGCTATCAGTGTTAAAAATGGAGCCGGGACCCCAGCTGGCTCAGAGCTGAGGTGGTGTTCTGTGTGGTGCCTTAGGGCTTTACGAAAGATCTGAGTCTAATGATCTCACGGGCAGGATGAAGGGAAACTGGGGGCTTTCATCCTCTCAGAGGGACCTGAAAATGGAGGCTGTACCTCTGCCTCAGGGGGCACCAGCATACGTAAGACAGACATCTTCACGCAGAGAGTCATTGTCCACGAAAGGGTCCTTATTGGAGACATCTCCTAGCATTAGGGTGCCTCTGGAATAAACCAAGAGGCGAGAAAACTTGGAGGAGAGAGAGAATTAAGAAATAAATAAGGGGGCTGGAGAGATGGCTCAGTGGTTAAGAGCACTGGGCTGCTCTTCCAGAGGTCCTGAGTTCGATTCCCAGCAACCACATGGTGGCTCACAACCATCTGTAATGAGATCTGGCACCCTCCTCTGGCATGCGGGCATACATGGAGGCAGAATGTTGTATACATAATAAATAAATCTTAAAAAAAAGAAATAAATTTAAAAAATCTGCATGATGTCTCCTGATAATAAAGGCACTTTACTTAACGCACAGCGTGGGATAGAACAGCCGGAGTCTTAAGTTGGTTCTTGATAGGATGACCGAAGAAGTGGTGACCTGTGAGGAGAGACCTGTGAGGACACTTCCAGACAGAGGGAACGGAAGGCGCAAAGCAGAAGCGCCTAGAGAATGAGACCAGTGTTACTGGAGCCAACGGAAGAAGCCCTGAGGTTAGGTGAGAAAGGTATTTGGGTATACCGGGAGATTTATGATGAGTTTGCCACCTCCTGTGAGGGAGAAGGGAAGCTGTTAAACATCTTGTCACTGGTTTCCTCTGGGTCAGCTGCAGGAGAATGGTACAACTGTGCCGGCAGTCAGAGTCTGAGAACAGTTCTTTTGTTATTGTTTTTCTACGAGGATGCTGAAGTCACACTGTGAGGGCTGAGGCACCCTGGCCCCTGGGATTTGGGGACAGCTATGTCGTGGACTGACGCCTCAGCTTTGAGAAGAGAGTTCCCCAAGACTCAGGATATACCAAATAATGATCTCTCTTTAAAGATGCTAAGAACTAAAGGGGCAAATGAGCTCCATGGGAACCAGGGAACACTCCTAGGAGCCAGACTCCCTTCACCAGGCTAGTTAACCACCAGGTGACACTGGAAGGGGGAGAGGCTTAGGGGCCAACTTTATTTCCTTCCAGCTGGGCCTCTGGCCTGAGCAAAGTGCCCCCCCCCCCGAACCTCAGAATGTGGCATTATTTAGATTTTTTTTTTTTTCTCGAGACAGGGTTTCTCTGTAGTTTTGGAGTCCTGTTTTGGAGCTCTTGAAAACCAGGCTGGTCTCGAACTCACAGAGACCCACCTGCCTCTGCCTCCCGTGCACCACCACTGCCCGGCTATTTAAGAGTACAGACCCCTTTGAAGCTAAGGGTGGTTGGTGTGTCCTGGCCAAGGTGATTGTCCCATCTTTATATTTGTCCCCGAATTTTATAATAAATAGTAAAAGAAATCGCTATAGCCCTGTCAACCTGGAGAAGTAGGATTCCCAGCTACCAGAACCAAGATGCTTCTTACATACGCCTCCTTACAGCGGGGGGTGGGGAGTGGGGGTGCGGGGGTGTGTTTACTATGCCTGGCTACTCCTTAGAAATGAGGCCAGCACCAAAGAAAGTCCTGAAGGCTGCTTACTGCAAGCTGCCACCTTAGCATCCCATGTAGATGGAGAAACACAGAGAGAAAATAGTGGGCTGAGAGGAGACAGAACCTACACCCCTGGACAGAATTGCTTCGATTCATCTAGGCCTCAAGAAGGAAGCCGGACGACTGGCTTTTCACAAGATTCGGGGTGTGCCTTTTGAAAGTCTTGGTGGTACACTGTAAATCCCAGGTGTTAGGAGGAAGAGGCAGTGGAATTGGGGGTTCAAGGTCATTCTCCACTATGCAGCGAGTTCAAGGCCAGCCTGGGCTGAGTAAGACCCTGTCTCAAAAAATGAAGCTATCAGTAAACAAACAAACAAACAAACAAACAAACAAACGCTCTGTGGCCCTTTCCCTCTGGGATCTTTTTGGCCCTCATGAGAAACAGAATTGTTGAAAAATCTTGATTAATTGGCATGATTCGTGTTAGCGTTTACGAATAGCATTGGAGGGGTTATCTGATCCTATGGCTGGAACCGGCAGCCTTCTTGCTTGCCAGCTTCGCTCTCAGAACAAGCAGATCTGCCACGGTGACAGATGAGGACCTGGTGCCTCTCCGATTTTTTAGAACTCATTAAGTCCATGCAGCAACTGTAGGTCTGCGGAGGCGGAGCTCTGCTCCGTTCCCCACGGCACACATGGTCCAGCGGAGCAGAAAGTACACAGAGAAAGCAAACCAGAGCGAGCTTGTTGGCGAGTTCCTCCCATCTGCATCCAGCTGAACACAGGCCCACCGCGCACGCAAAATGCAATGCGTATTTAGAAAAGAGACGACTGTGTGATTAGAGAATAATTGCCACTCTGGCGCATTCTTTTTCATCAGGTTCTATTGAAACCTTTGCTGCGGCGAAGCTCGTTCGAAGCACGTCTGGGAAGGCACAGGTACAATAGACAACAGGCAATACGAGCCAGTCGTCTGTGTGGCCAGCTCTGGGCCTCTCCAGGATAGGGTGCCCACTGGTAAGGAGTCTTCACTTCCCAGCCATCCTCGTTAGTGAGGAGCCTGCTGTGGGAAATACGGGCCTGTTTCCATAGCGCTTTGTTCGTGAGATCTGCCCATCACAGAACTGCATGGTTGAGTCTTTTAGGATGCTAAGTCATGTCTGTTTGTGATCACTGGCAGGTGTCAGAAGCTGCTCTGGGCTCTTTGGACCTCCCTCGTTTGTTGGCTGAGTAGAGCATTTGTTGTATTTATAGCCCTCCTGAGGTTGCATTGTGGGAGAATCAACAGCAACTGGCTTGTTTCAAACTGAACTAAAGCCATAGCGATAGGGTTGGGTATTGTGAGACCCTGGAGCCATGCCTTGGTGCATGTAAGAAAGCCGGCTTCATGCCTGTTCCGTTGTTTGGCTGTGCAGGGGAAACAGCACATAACGGAAGACCGGGTGACCATGTAGCCATGCCAGGTCATCCCCCAGAGCTTTGGCTGGGACAAACCTCACTGTGGTGCCCCTTCTGTCTCTGGGTTGCCAAATATTTGCAAACTGGTAAAATCACACTATAATAAATAATACAGGCACTTTGAAAACAGCGACCTAAGCATCCATGAAAGGAGCCAGGGATCGTTCCACCAAGAAAGTCTCTAGCTCTCCCCTCAAACCAAGATTTTCATGCCAGACAGACAGAAGGCTTCCGAGGACTTTGGCTTCTTGTGTCAAGCCTTTCTATGCTGTTTTAAACACCTATTTTGATATTATTTTTATAATTACAAGTTATTACCCAAGAAAGAGGGATGGTCTGTCAAGAGGGTTCTGGTTGCACCCACATATACATACACACATAGATGAGAGGTGATAGATATGATTGATGGGTAAAATAAACAGGATATATATGTATATTATTATAGATGAATGACAGATTATAGACACAATAATCTATAATAATATAGATAAGTTGTAAATGACCAATTAGATAGGTGATAGACATTACATATGGTAGATAAAAGCTGATAGATAGATGATAGATAGATAGATAGATAGATAGATGGATAGACAGATGATAGGTAGGTAGATAGATAGATAGACCCAATCAAAATATGCCCTGGTCCTTTTTGTTACTGTGGAACTTTCTAAAATGTCACTGTTTGATACACATCTCTAAAATGTCTGTGAACAAGTCAGGCCACAGTCTCTCTCATAGGAGAAAAAGAAAAAAAAAGACGATTTTATCATCAGAAAGTCAGGGGAAGTACCTCGGAAGAAAGATTAGAATTGTACACTGCTTTTAAAAATACAAGATATCAACAAATATTTTCACCTTCAAATCCTTTCTTTAAAAAAAATCAGCTGTGTTCCAATCTTCATCAAATATCTCATGCATAAGAGAAAAGGGTTTTGCTTCACATTGGTTTGATGGACCCCAAGGTCTTGTTCTAATCCCTCACCCACTGAGCTATAATCCCAGCCCGTATTACTCTCTCTCTTTGAGGCAGGGGCTCACCAAGTTATCCATACTGACCTTGAACTTTCCATCCTCCTGCTAGGGTGATGAGTCTCTGCCACCAGGCCCAGCAGAGAACAGTGTTTTAAAGCTAAAGAAGCCAGGAGCCTTCTATTGAAAGGCAGCTGTCAGAGAAGACTGCAGGCGCATCCACCAAGCTTCTGCCCTTCCCAGAATTCCACGGGGAAGGAGGTGTGGCCTAGAGGAGACCCGTGAGGACTAAGACAGTACAGGATCCCTGCAGTGGTTGCACCCTGCCTAACTAGCACCCCAGGGAGACCACATTTAGAAAGGGACAGAACCTCAGTTGTAAGACGAGGAAACACAGATGCAAATGTTGAGTGTTACAGCAAACCTGTTAGGACACTTCTAAATTACAAAATCTTGGAGGAATGCGGAAAAAGCACAGATTCTAAGTGGCTATGATGACCTGTACACCTTACCCTGATTGCTTAAGTATGAATTTATTGAAACAGAACACTGTGCCAGGCTGTGTGAATTGTGCTTGGAGATGCCCTCGCACTTGGGAAGCCACTCCCAGCAACAATAGCTAGCTAGCATAGGTGACATCTGACATTCATGATTTCAGAAACGTCCAGAAATCCTGAGGTGAGAAGACAAGGTGGGAAGGGTTTTGACGGTGGACAGTTGCCAGGCAGCATGGCACTCTTGACAACAAACCACGTGCAACACGCAAGTAGACACACGACAAAAGGCGGACTGTCTTTAAGGCTGACAACAGAACTGACGGGTCTCCCAACACAGAGATCCATTCCAAAGTCAGTTTGGCAGACGGGCAAGTGGTAGTGGGCTGGGGAGGACCGGGACATGCTCTGCAGGCTGCAGGTTCGTGTCCCGTGCGTCTGCAGGTGTCCACATGCAAGCCTGTGTGCTGCTGGCAGGTGGTCACTGGTTCCTAAGGGATGAGAGACGCTAGCTAGGCTTTCTTTTCTGTGGGCGTCCCCGGCTCCGGCGTCTTCACGGATGCCGGGTTTGTCTGCGCTCTGCCTCTCCCGATGCTTGTTTTCTTTGGCTTCTGGCTATTGTTTTGGAGGGATTTCAGCCCCAGCATCTTACAGTACTTGTTACACTGGTGCAGTGCTTTGAACTGATCGATGAAGGTCATAGAGCAGTTGCCCTTGAATCCCTTGTACCTGTATGTGGGTGTGAAAAGAAACCACTTAGAGAGAAGACATTTTACCAGTTTCAAAAGACATATCTGAAAGAGAAATTAATGGTGCGTAGAAAATATATTTGTTCCTATTCCCGGTAAGAACAACCACATGGCTGACAGTTAAAAGAAAAAGGGGGGGGGGGCACCGGAGAAAATGCCTCTTACCCACCTGGCCACATAGTAGATGGCACATCGTAAAGATTCAGTTCCTGGCCATGGATGGTTACAGCTACCGATCCTGGCACCGCTGTGACTGACAGGGCCCTCCAGCAGGAAGAATGCTGGAGGGTCAGTGACAGACAAGCAGACAGGCATGAGGGTATGCCTGGAATATAGAGCTACTGACCTGATGTTTTAGAATTCAGTGCAAAACAAAAAAAAAATGTTCAAAACGTATTGAGAATTTTGAGACAGGAACGGCAGATAAAACAAGACAGCACTTTCCTGAACGTGGACCCAGGAACTGCACATCCACGGCTGGGTGTGAGTGTGAGGCCAAAGAGAAGCCACTGCTTTTCCTAGGTGATGCGCACCATGTTTTACACTTTCGGGGCTGTGAAAGCCTTCCCTGCTCCCTGCTGCCTTGGTGTAGGCCTGCAGCTCCATCCTGACAGGTGTGCTACAGTCCGCTTGCCCCTCCTCCTCTCTGCTTCCAGGAGGCCATTTCCTTAGGAGATGCAGCTGCTCTCCAAAGGACACGTGCACTTTGCTGAAGAAAAAGCCAACCAAACGCAGCAATTGAGTGTGTCAGAGCAGGGACTCCCACGGCTAAACCCGTCAGCTTTCCATCTCTAGCGTCCTCTGCAGAAGACTCCAGAAAAGGTCAAATGCTAGTCTGTGAACACTTCCTGTTTGCCAGAGCATCCCCCACCGTGTGTGTGTGTGTGTGTGTGTGTGTGTGTGTGTGTGTGTGTGTGTGTTGGGGAGACAACCCAGGGCACACGTATGCAGACACAGTAGAAACCAGAACTTGACTGCCTCTGGATAGAGTGTCACCCACACAAGTCGTGGTAAAGGCAGCCTTGCACAGTCTGGGACATGCTTCTCAGCACCCAACCTCCGCAAAGCTTGGGCTGTAGGGCAGGCTCCATGGAACCTCCTGAACCCTTTCCTCAGCATGAGAATGGATCTTTCACCTCTGTCTCTGTGTGTCCTGAGGAGCTGACCCACACCGTAGAATCAGGAGTACATATCGACATCTCTCCACGGGTGCCACCTCTCCCCAGACACTGTTTTACATCCAAGGTCCCCGTCCAGAGCAGGCTTTTACTATGACTGTTCAAAGAACGAGTAAACAGACCCCAGCCCTACCAGCAGGGCTCTTTGATCTCAGCCCAGATGGGTTTCCACATCACATTTCCGAATTTCTCTGTCTCTGTTTGCTTTTATAATAACAAAACAAGCAACGCTAACCAGATGCAATGCATAAAGAAAAAGACTTTATTTAGCTAGAGATTCCAAATGTGGCCTCCACATCCTGGTGAGAGCCATTGGCTACGCTGCAGTATGGTGGAGAGATGGCCAAGTGCAGAAGGGGCCAAGTGTGTGCCGTGGCCTTGGGTTGTGGCACCTCATTCCATAAGACCAACATCAATCTTTTCCTATTGTTTTCCCATGATCAGCAGACCCCACGGCTCAACAGTTCTACAGTTTTGCTCACTAAAGACAAAGCTTCAAGCACACGAACCTCCAGGCTGGATGCTCCAACCAGAGCACACTTTGAAGTTGGACTCAGGCAATGCTGAACCCTTCCACAGCTTTACCAGAGGTACGCGCGTTTTTTAGGTTTTGCCACCCGGTGTCTACAGAATTCAGAGTCTTTCTCTTCTCTAAATTTGGTCCCTGTCTCAACTTGGATGTTGGGCTTTGCCCTGTTGTTCTTTCCAACTGGCAACCATTATTGTGAAATGGTTTTTGCCTGGGAAGGAAAATGCAGCAAGGTCCATATGTTTCTAGACCAATTAACCACACATGTATTCAGAGGACGCAAGTCTAATTTCACCAAGCTGTCATCTACCCAAGCAATAGGAAACAGCCCTCAGTTTATGACCTGATGTGCAAGCCACATACACCATCTGCTGCCCTCGGGCTCGGTGGAAACTACCGATCTAGGCTTTCGTGACCTCGTTCCAATGTGAACCCAGATGCGGAAACCCATGGCTACCGCTCCTGTTATTTAGAGATGCAGATAACCAAAGAGTTCTGTCCTTCCAAGAAGCTCAGGGGTGATATTATTTGTAAATAGTGGCTACTGTAGATCTAATGACTTAGGATGAGATCCCAGCATTACTGGTATTTACATATGAAGCAGAGAAAAGAGAGAGGCGCATGAGAAACCTATATGATGTCTGAGGCAGAGTTCTAGTGATTCAACTACAAATAAGAAACCATTAAGAAATAACAGTCAAGCACCGGAAGGCAGAAGACAGGCATGAAACAGACTCCAGGCGGAACTAGATCTGCTGTGAGAGTTAATCTTGGTCGCCAACTTGGTGGCATCTAGAACGACCTAGGAGAAGGGACCGCTGGGCAGGCGTGTGGGGGGTCATTTTAAATTAATTGAGATTGGAAGACTGTCCTCTATGAAAGGTACCATTCCCTGCGCTTGGCTCCTGAGCGCGTGAGAGCAGGTGTTTCATCCCTCCTTCCTTCTGCTTCCTCATCAGAACACACCCTTGAACCATGAGCCAAAATAAACCTCCCTTAAGTGGCCTTTGTCAGAGTATTGTATCGCAGCAACAGAAAGACAAAAACAAAAGCTAAGACACCTCCTGGTCCCTCTCAGGCTTTCAGCCTCCAGAGCTATGAAACCGTAAACTCTTGCAATTTTAAACATTTGCATTTGTGGCATTTGTGGCCTAAGAATCTAGCACAGTGGGATTAGGAACTTTGTATTAGACACACACACACACACACACACACACAATTTTCAGCTTTAGAAACCTTAGCTTTGCTAAATTTTACTTATTGGATCTTTGCTTTTTAAACTCCAGTTATAATCATTTCTGAGTTGACTCCACCTGGCCTTCCACACAAAACATACAAGATAGTTCCTCAGAGCCACTGTTTGTAAGACTTCTGGGCAGGGGCCAGAAGAACACCATGCTACTTCTATCTGGGGAGAAATGTGTTCTGTCGGGCTCTGCTGGGACCTGGAGGTCCAAGCACACGCACAGCTCACTGCTACAAAGGCTTCTTGCCAAAATGTAAGGTGAAGGCTTTTCCCTTGCAAACCTCCAAGCATCCTGGGTGGTGAGAGTCTCTCAAATGTGGTTTTCCATATCAGGAATGCCTGACAATTCCGTGCCCCCTTACACCTGGTTGTTCTTCCTTCCGAAGGTAGACAGGCACCTCCTGGCAGGCAGCCATACTGAGAGGTGCCCTTGGTAGCTAGTCATAACCATCTCATTTGGCCACAGCGAGTACTGAAGGCAAGTTCTGCTCAGAGTCCCCCTCTTTGTTTCACTTCCATCTAACCATGTGACTAGAGCCTTTTTTTAAAAACCCAGAGAGATTATAGCCTCTGCTGCCCTCTAGTGGCTAAATCATGAACACACCCCCTCCACTTTCTCCTTGGGACTCCACTGCCTAGAGAGATGCTTGCAGGGCCCCTGGTAACCAGTACAGATCTGTTCCCTTTGCGTGGCTTGGTTGAGTTTCCAAATCCCCAGTTGTCAGATTGAGTATCTTTCTTTGTCTCTCTAAGAGAACTCTAGGTGGCTGAGGAATTCAACTCAGAGATGTAATCCAAGAGCCAGGCTCTCCAGTCTATCTGGAGGGTGGACGACACCTCCAGACACAATCATGGGATAGCCCAGGAGGACTGTGGCAGCGCTGTTTTCAGAAGCATGCCGAATGAAACTTGCAATGAGCAGATCATAACGGTTCCTTATTTTACGAGATTATGAATAGATTATTTATTCGCCAAACAGCATCTCAGTCTTCACTTGAATATCTCTGACTTCATTACAGAACAAGACAGGTTGCATTTATTGGGGTGTGAGATAAATAAATGTGCAGGTGGAGACATAAGGATATGCACATGTATGCATGCATGTGTATATAAACGCACGCACTGTATGGAGGACAGAGCACAATCTCAGTGTCGTTCTTCAGGTGTCAATCACCTCCTTTTTTTCTTTTGAGGCAAGGTTTCCAACTGGCCTGACCAACTGGAATAGAGCTTCCTGTCCCTGCCACCTCCTCCTGTTACTGGAATAACAAGTGCAAGCCATTGTGTCTGACTATTTACATATATATTATATATATATATATTATATACGTGTGTGTGCCTGTGTGCATGTGAATTCTTAGACCTGAGCCTAAGTCCTCAGGCTTGCTGACACTTCGCCAGTTTAGCCATTTCCCCTTCAGCCCCGCAGCCTGGAAGTGTCTTGAAATGACACAGGGCTCCACATCTTAGGACCGTGTCCTTCTCTACAGCCAAAGACTGCCAGGGGACCAGCCTCCCACAGAATTCACAACTCTCTGTCTCCAGGCTTTTCATCCATAAGCTTGTTCAGAATAGAGAAACTGTGTCTAATGGATCCTCATTCAGCCAGCTCCTCCCTTGTACTCGGAAAGTCTGACACCCCCTCTTTCTTTCCCCTGTTCCTTGGCACTCAGTGTGAACGGTTTCATCCGATCTGCAGAGCATCTTTGAGTCTGAACCCTTTCCCAGTGGGCTACCATTGTTCCTCCGTCCATTTGCAGCTTTTGGCTTTGAGGGGAACATTTCTTCAAACAGATCTTGCTTTCTAGCATGTGAGATAAACTCCTGCACATCAAGGGTGCGTAACCCCCACCCCGTGTACCCACCCCTTCATGCAGAGAATGCTGCTGGTCCTCCCCTCCCCTCCCCAGATCACTGCTGGCTCAGCCCTGCTCCAGAGGGAAGGGGGGCCTGGGAATCTAGGTGGTGGGTATGGTCACAGTTCCCTTGGAGAATAAGGATGTGTAAGGAAGCCCTAACACCCCTCATCCTCTGAGCGATTTCCCGTTTATTGGCTTTTCAAATCAAGCTTCTAAAATACAGTTTTGTTTTGTTTTTTAATGTGTGACTTTTCTTTAAGCTTGTAAAGAAAACTTTAAAACCCGGACAAGCTGATCTAGAGTCCTTTCGAACACTGCAGAATTCCCTTCCCACCTCTCCCTGGGTGGGAAAGCAGTCGTAAGTGCCACTTTGCAGGCAGCGTTCTGCCCTTGGCTCCAGCCATCCTCTCTGCTAATGGGCCTTGGGCAGCTGTCCCAGGCTAGAAAAGTAACATAAATGCTGAGAACAAAACCAAGGGCTTAGATTTCTTTTTAAATTAGGAGGGGGAGTGTCGCTCCGAGCTCTCTCATTCCTGGAAGCCACTGACATGCTTCACAGGATGCCGTAAATCACCAGCCTCTTGTGCTCACTTTGGTTTGGGGACTTCTCGAGCCGGTTTGGTTTAGTAGGAGGTTGTGCTAAGCCAGCAGTTCTCAACCTGTGGGTCGTGACCCCCTCAGGGGTCACATATCAGATGTTTACATTATGGTTCATAACAGTAGCAAACTTACAGTTATGAAGTAGCAACAAAAATAATTTTATGGTTGCGGGGGGTTACTACAGCATGAGGAACTGTTCCAAAGGGCCTCAGCAGCGGGAAGGTTGAGAACCACTGCTTTCGGTGATGCTGTGCAATTTTGTGTATCCTGGCAACAGGCAGGGGTGAGCAGGAGTAGGGAGTTCTGTTGAGCCAACATCGGTGACAGGGTCTGGAGGTAGATTAGCCAGAGGGATCCTCAGCAAACCATAGGGACCCCAGGCTGATGGGCAGGCAAGCCAGGTCTGGCTGAAATGGAATTTGTCTTGTTCTACAGATAACAGCGAGTCTTAAGAGAAGATTCCACTTGGGAAAGTGCTCTGACAACCAAAGGCCTTCACAGGTAGGGTACCACAGGTTACGGGAACATTCACCCAGGGAGGACGCTGAAGTGAACAGCTTTTTAACATCAGACACAAGATGTCACAAACAGGAGAAAACTGAGCCTACCCAGCCACCCTGCTCATCAGACAGACATACGGAGCCATGAGCCACACTACCACCAAGAGAAGAAGAGGTAAAGGGCCTGGCCCAGATTTGGACCAAGGCTCTCTCAAAAGCTCCTGCCTTCCCCACAACATCATAACCTCTCTGGCACATTCTATTTGCAAGCCCAACGTCACGACCAAATGCCGGGAAGCCTACAGCAACCAGGCCTCCATCTGGTGCCGTGAGATGAGTGTGAGAGACGGTTCCATCACAAGAGCTCACCTCACAGAGCCGGCTTCCAAAAGGAAGACACCAGGTGAGAGAGATCCAGACCGCGTCCTGGTTGTAAGTAAATTGGAGAGCCCGGGGCTATCACAACTTCATGAATCAAACCTGTGGTTTTCGTTACTTTTTCTCGCTGCTATGGCAAAACTCTTGACAAAAAGCAACCTATGGAGGGAGGGTGATCTTGGCTCCCAGTTTATAGGGCACAGCCCATCAAGGCATGTGGCTGGGGCAGGTGGCAGAAGAGTGAAACCGCTGGCCACATTGTATCCACGGTCGGGAAGAGAGGTGAGTGCGGGAGCGCAGCTCGTGCTCTCCTTTCTGATCTGCATGGGAAGGCACCGCCCACTTTCAGGATAGGATTCCCACCTTCAAATGTGCACCGTGGCGTGGACACGTGTTCTCTCTCTCTCTCTCTCTCTCTCTATATATATATATATATATATATATACATACATACATATATACATATATACATATATATATGATATGTGCACACACACACAGAATACATTTAAAAATATTTTTTGAAGAAGTCACGAATAGCCGCTTTCTCTTCGGAGGGGCCCAGGTGAAGCAGCAAAATGAGACAGTTTGTTAAGAGCCTGGCTAATAGTCGCAGTGTCACCTGAGTGGACAACTGAGCAGACCAGCATCCTTGCGTTCAACCAGGGAAGGAAAACCAACAGCACTGGTACCCAGTCACAGGCATTTGAATGGCTCCTGTGCTCCCGGGCAGGCAGCTGGGAAGTTAGCTAGACAGCCAGGGATGCAAGCTTCTGTAATAATCTCTCGTGCCGGCGAGCCACCAGAAGGATTTTTGGGGAGGGAAATGGACTAATCATAAACACGTAAAACTTATTGGGCTCAGTTGCAAAAACCAAAACAACAAAAGCTTTCAATAGAGACGATGGTAAGTGTAGAAACTGGAGGTTTTGGGTTGAAAGACATCCCAGTGATGCCAGAATACTTTCTCACCAGGACACTCTTGCCTCAAAGTTAGGAAGCAATGTGTTTCCCCCCGAGAACAAAGTCCATAAATATTTTATGTAAGTAAAAGAAATGAATTGAACTCATTCCCAAGACCATTTGTCATCCACAGTAAAGACAAGAAATCCACTGGGTCCACATTAGCCAAGCAGCGTTTGCCGAAACCCAATGAGAAATGACACCTACTTCACTTTTTCCTACTCACCCTTTAGCTAGTGTTGCTATGCCAACGTCAGTTAACTTCATCCCCACACCTGTGGAGAAAAGACAGCATTGTTAAAGGGAGCACGAGAAGGATTGGTCAGGGGCTCTCCCAGGCTGGATGGGTCCATGTGTATTCACCTCCCGGTTTCTACCCCCAGAGCCTCGGGAGACTCACAGTCCTCCTGCCCTGTGCCTGGTGTGGGGAGTAATGATGGGGAGGGCAGACCTGTGACTTGGGCAGCAGTCCCCAGGGCAGACCTCCTTCAGACTTATCCTTGCCCCAGGATGGAGCAGGGACTCGGTTGCTCTCTGATGAATTTGAGACTAGGTACTTTCCCCATGAGTTTTCTCACAAGAAATTATGTCTCTTGAACTTACATCTGGTCCCCTGTTCTTCACTGAAAGTGGAAATCCTTAAATAGGGGGAAGCGTGGGCATGGACCGCCTTGGTCAATGGCAAAAATAAGCAAGTTCAAGGCAACATATTCACAGGCAAACTCCACATCCACAATTCTCACTTCCACTAAGACAGTTTCCTATCATTCGCTGAAGAATTTCCAGATCCTAGGAAACATTCACAGGCTATGGGTGGACTTGTAGCCATTGGCCTGGGGATAGTGACGTTTGGAATCCATGGCCCAGCCATTTAAGACTTTTAATAACTTCATTCGCGGAACCATGGTGGTGATTGGAAATACCAAACCCCAGACAATAAAACGGCTACTGAGTTTCCCACTCTGGCTCAGCAAAAAGCCACTGATGTCCTTGCGGTAAGCCCAGGCACACACGGCCCCTTTGCCAACTGTGCTCCCAGAAGGGCAGCTGGAAAGTAGCTAGGGAGACAGATGTGCAAGGGAAATGAACAGCCTGCTGTCTTCTAGCATGAGGAAGGTGAGCATCCTACCACAGTAAAGGACTGCCCACTTTCCCTCTGCCCCAGCCTCAGTCAGTATCCTTAACATCTGTCTCCCAGGCTAGCAATTAGGAAGATCATCAGTGCTCATGCCCAAACTGTAGAGGTCCCTGGGCCTTTCTAGCATCTTCCTGCTCTATCCAGGTAGTCTTCCTGCTTCTGACTTCCTAGGACGGTGGCTCTGGGCACTTGCCCTGCCTCAGTATTCCCGACCTGTGCAATCCAGTGGTGACCTGGTGGACATCTCTGACATATCTCTGACTCTGGTCCTATATGAGCTGGACTGTAAACAGTGATATCCCTGCCACCAAGCAGGTAACTTGGCCACGGAGCAGGCAGGTAGGTGACAAACCAGTCTGGGGTATGGAGGTCCCAGGTCTCTCTAAAGCCAACGCTGGGATGAGAATGGATGACAACCTGGTTCCACGGCTCTGCATCCCAGAGGCCCAGGGGAGGCAAGCAGAAGGCAGAATGCCTGGTTCATCCGTGTCCACCAAGAGCATGGCAAATATGCTGCCGTGTTGCTAGTCGGATGAGTGAGTCACCTGGCAGCCATAAGCCCAGCTTTTGTACATGTACCTGTGAGCTAAACATGGCACTTTGGACATCCCAGCGAACCTTTTAAAAGCTGAATCATCTCATTCTTCCAAAGATACTAACAACGGGAACACCTGCTTCATATTGCTTCATTTGTGGAAAGTGCAATGGTTTTTTAAAAATGCCAAATTGCAAAGGCCCCTTTGGACATCTTTTTCCATGGAAGGTCCTGTCTAAACACCACAGCTCTAAGTTCCAGGAAGGGTCAATTTTTATAAGTCATTTGGCAACAGGTGCTTGAGCTTGGGCAGTGTCCTCCCTTGCCCTCACAGTTGGCAGCTGCCATTTTTGGTTTGGAAAAGTAGGCTGCCAAGGTCAGGGGAGACGGCTCAGTGTGCGAGCCTGAGGTCAGATTCAGGTTCCCAGAATTCATCTAGAAGCTGGATATGTAGTGTAGATGTGTGTGTGTGTGTGTGTGTGTGTGTATGTGTGTGTGTGTATGTGTGTGTGTGTGTAGTCTCAGAGTACCTCTGGGGAAATGGGAGATATAGATGGAGAATTTTCCAGAAACCTAGCTCACTTGGTTTAATTATTTGCCAGTAATTCAACAAAGGTTTCCAGCAATCATTGGTGGGCAGTACTTTCAATCTGATATGCACATACCTGTCAGACTGAGGTGCGGCTGATTGTGGCCTATCGGGTGTTTCTAATGGGAGGAAGGGCAAGGTTGGTGGTCCTCTTGGGGATGGCTCCTTAGAAAGTCTAGGGGTCTCAACAGGTCTCGGGTCTTAACCACGGACTCACCCCTGACCCCACAGACCTACAGTGCCATCAAGTTTCTATCAACAAACAAATGCACCCGGGGAAGACGACAGTCGCATTCGGTTTTGTTTCTCTTACTTTTAACTGTGGTGTGTACAAAGCCAAGACACTGCCTCCAGATGATGTGTGTGCTGGCGCCACAAGGACGATGGCAATGGAGAGATTTTCCGAGCAGCAGACAGTAAATAAGCCCTGTTATGAAGCACTGTGCCAACACATTTGAGCGCACACATCATTTGCGGAGAGATGTAATATTCCACTGCAGTGTTTACCAGTGCCTGGGAGCAAAGCTAGCTGTGCGTGAAGCTCCAGGGTGCTCTTCTTTCGCAGACAAAATACATTTAATGCGAAATTAACTCCGAAGGTGACAGCTTGGGAAGAACAACTGTACAGCCAAAATTGCAATAGAACAAACAGCTGTCTGTTCAGAATGTGTGTGTGTGTGTGTGTGTGTGTGTGAAGTCATTCCTGGGAGTATTCACACATCGAACCTTTTAACATCAGGGGATACTTGAGAAGCCTGGAAAGTAACTCGACTGCAAATTTGTTCGTTTGACATCTTGTACAAAAAGTGCAATATCCAGACTCTGAAAATGTAGGTTGGGGTCTTGGACTCCTCTATAGTTATTAGCTGACTGGCAGAAGCTAAACCACTGCTCTTGCTCTCAGCTTTTTCATCTGTAAAATGGGAGCATAGTATATTCTATACAGGATTAGCATGGAGCATAAATAAAAAGCACGGAAAAGCGAATGTATGCAACAGCTGGAGAAATCTAGTCCCTCCTGTAGTCTAGCCACTCCGCTGGATCAGGGTTCACGTCTGGTTTTGATCATGTGCAGCACTTGCATGAGCTGTGATCATCTGGTAAAGCCCCACAAAGAGTATGTGGGCAACTTCTCTGTACAGTTTTGCAAATTCTGTCTGACTATCTGTTGTCTATCTCTTTGTCTTTGTTTCTCTCTGTGTCTCTGTCTCTGTGCTATGGGATAATGCTCTTGTACCATTGTCCTTTTTGCCTGGTTCCACCTGCGGGTACCACTTTGCCTAAAACCTTAGTTTTGCCAATGTAGCAAGAGTGAAACACAGGAGAATCAATGCCACCACCGTGAGCAACATTTGGCTGGTGCTAAAAAAGAGCTGTGGGAGATCATTCCTGCTTCCCCATAGCTTGGGCAGGGGATTCTGGGAATTGTGCTCAATGCAGACTTCCAGCAGAGCACAGTTGCCCACAGTAGTAACTGGGAGTTTGCCCATGTTCTACTGTCTGCCTGTGCTTCCTCTGTCTTCTGCCATTTTCTGGGCTTCTTTCTCAGATGAGCTATATGCACTCAAGACAGTAGCTCTCTGGTCCTTCCTCCACATCAGTGGGTGGGGACTGAAAATATTTGAAAATATTGAATATATATTGAGCATGTACAGACCGATGTAGCACACTCTCTTAGAGGACATTTATGTTGCATTAGGTGCTAGAAGTCATCTAGAGATGACTCAAAGTATACGGAAGAATATGTAGAGGTATACAACCCTGATGCCATTTTATACAAGGGACCTGAGCATCTAGAGAAGTGCGTATCCGCAGAGGTCCTGAAGCCAACTCCCTGGGGATACCCAGACATACTTGTCTCCAGTCTGTTCCAGAAAGAACCCTTATGACATGTCCATTTCCTGTAAGAAGCTGTATTCCTAAAAATTTCTCTGCACCTGGAAAGCACACTGCAAATTCCACAGGAGAGCCCAAGATCTAAAGGTTCCAGTGACACTTTGATTTATTGGGAAATAAATACTACATCTCAGCTCAACTCATGGCAATACATGTGGACTTCCACGTGTGCTGAATTTTGGGGTGTAACCATGAAGCTAGCCTCAACCTTTTATAGTGGAAGGCACTGCGGGTAGTCATTGATATGAATTTTATTACTTCATTTGGCCAATAATTCGTTTCCAAGCTTCATTTCCAACTGGACATGAATAACATCTTAGGGAGAAGATGCTTGTTGGTACTCAGTAGACCTCTCCTCTTTACTTCCCCTCCCTCCTCTCTCCTCCCTCCTACCCGTAGAAACGCCCCAGAGCCCCCAGCATCCCCAGAACCGGGTGGTGCAGTCCGCTCACCCTGCATGTCTGTGACCAGGAGGCAGCCGCTGGTTTTCTGGTACACCCAGTGCTGGAAGGTGCAGCACTTCTGACCAGCCTCTGACTCCCTTCGGAGGAAGTTGATTTCCTTCCCGTCGCGGATGGAATACTTCACGAATTCTCCAATCAGCTCCTCTTCCACTGTGGCGTAAGGGATGTTGTTCTCGGGCCGATGGATGAGGAAAATAGGGATGATCCTGTCAGGGAGGAGGACATGGCTCTCAGAGGAGAACACAAGTGCCTGGGTGTTCCTGTCCGCTGGAGCAGCAGGGCACACGGACAATCTAGGTTCCACTCTGTGTTTTATTTTATGCTTTTGCATTGCCTTCGATTGTATTTAATGAACCAAAAGACTCATTTCTAGTTTTGTTTCTAGAATTAGGTTGAAGCCCTCTTTGTCATTACTTTTAATGTCATTTTGTTTGGTTTTGTTTGAGACCATTGTTTAACGACACAGCCCTGGCTGGTCTGGAACTTGCTATATTGAATAGGCTTGCCTGGAAATCACAGAGATTGGCTTGCCCCTGCCTTCCAAGTGCTGGGATTAAACACATGAACCACCACGTTCAGCTTTGGCTTTGCTTTGATTTTTTTATTTATTTTATGCGTATGGATGCTTTACCTGCATACATGCACACTACATGGGTGCATGGTACCCACGGAGGCCCAAAGAGGGTATCAGATCCCCAGTAAATAAATAAATAAGGTCTCACTAGGTAGCCAGACTGGTCTCAAACTCATTAGGTAGCCCAGACTAGCCTAGAAGTCTAGCTCCTTCTGTCTCAGCCTCCGAGTGTGAGATTATAGTCCTGGGCCACAATACCAGGCTCTATCATTTTATCTCAGTAATCCATTGGATCAACAACTACCACCCATCCACCCGTCCATCCACCCACCCATGTTTACATGCATGCATGCATCCACCCACCCACCTACCCATCTAGCCATCCACCCATCCATCTACACATCCACCTACCCACCCATTCACCCACCCATCCACCCACCCATGTATATATACATGCATGCATCCACTCATCGATCCACTCACCCATCCATCCATCCACCCACCTACCCATCCATCCACCCACCCACGCATGCATCCATCCATCTATCCACCCACCTACCCATCCATCCGTCCGTCCACTCACCCACCCCTTACCTATTCATACTTCACTCAGTCAGCAAACACTCATTTTCAGTGGCTTCTGTGTGTTAACACTCTTCCAGACACTCTTTCACAAACACCAATAGAGAAAACAGAGGCCCTGGCTATTAAGTTCCACACTCAGGGACAAATGGCTGAGGCACCTGTTTAGCACATCAAAGCGGACCTGGTTCAATGCTAGGACCAGGTTCTCCTAGCACCCCTCAGTCCCTACCTGTTACAGGGCATGGTTGGCATATTCTGCCCTCTACCCACCCCCAGGGGCTGGACTGCCCTTCCCACCAGAAGTTCTTCCCTGTATAATCCAGACATTTTGGTTACCTGCCTCCTTTTGTTCCTCTGGCCTTCGGGCTGCGGCACCTGGTTCCACTCTCTCCTTTCCCCGCCCTCATCTTCCCATATGGCCCAGCTGAGGGTCATGTTGACTCTGGACTCTCCCTGATGTCCCTATCTCTGCCTACACTTTCTATCTACAATAAACGTTCTCCTCCACCACACCCAGGAGCACCCAAGTCCTGTCCTTTTCATTTCTCTTTCCCATCCATCTGCCCCCCAACCATGAAACTTGCATTTAAATGGAGGTAACAGGCAATGGCAAACTGCAGGATGTTAAATGTCACCTGGAAGTCTGGTGTGGTACCCAGGAGGCTGCACCTGAACGGGGAAGGGGCTGTCCTTTTTACTCAGACTCAGAAGTCCTTGCTTATTAATAAAGGACATTTGAGTAGACCTGCAGAAAGCTAGGGGTAGCCATGAGGGTGACTTAGGAGAGAAACTTCCAGGGGGAAAGAGGAGCAAATGAAAGGCTCTTAAGGCATTCTTTCCAGCCTTTGTGTCTTGTTAAAGAAGTGTCTAGGGGCCCTCCGATGGGATGGGAGGGAGCATGTTTGGAGCTGTGGCCCTGCTGCATATCCCTTAAAAAAAAAAATAGGTTGGTCACCAAGCCTTTGTCTGTCTGTCAAGCTTTGTCACATTTGCAAGACTCAGGGGACCCTCTGAAGACTCCTTCTAGCCAATTACCCACCAAACAAAAGGATTCAAGGTTTGTCTGGGTTTTTATTAATTCCTTAGCCTTTGGGGAACAAGAACAAAGTCTGGGCATTACTCACAATCTCAATTAGCTTGGTGTCTGCCCGGTTGGGGGTTTTGCATAGACGATGTCATGTCATTGATATTCATGAATTCAAAAGCAAAAACTGCAGGGAGTATGGAGTGTTTTGTCTTCGAGATCCCAAAAGTTCCCTAAAAAGCAAACTGCTTTAGGGACCCATTTCTGGAAGTGTGTGTGTGTGTGTGTGTGTGTGTGTGTGTGTTTGGGGGGGGGGTAGGTTGACTGTGGTCCAGTGCCTCCAGATCCCAGCAATATGAGCTTAACTGGAAGCCTAGCAGTGTGCAGGGCCAGCTCAGGGCACACACGTATGCATCCCTGATGTAGCATTCTCCAGTCTAGGTCAGTGAGTATCTATCCGGCCTAGATATCCTTCAGAGACTGCTTACCTTTCTGTATGCTCTAATCACACATGTAGCCGCAAATTCTCCCAGGGTACTGCAGGAGATTTAAGTTTTTGATAGAAAAATGTCCTCATCTGTCTTTAGGGCTTCAGCCTATTTGGTGAATACGGATGACATCAAACAACTTCTACTCCCTACTTGAGCCCACCCTTCTAGGCCCCTAAACCCATCTTGATATGCATTATGTGTTCTTTTCCTTTAAAAGGGCCCCACGTGGTATAAGAGTTAAACTGCACAAAACTTAGGTCTGCCCCTGCACTAGGATACCACGGCTTGTTTTAGCGATGGGCTCTTAGAAACTGCTTTCGTGGGGGCAATGAGATGGCTTGCTGGAAAAGGCAGTGCCACCAAGTCTGATGACCTGAGTTCAAACCCCAGGACCCTCACGGTCACAGGAGAGAACCCTTTCCTACATGTTGTCCTCTGACCTCCACACATTTATTGTAACACACACACACATATACACGTGTGAGTGCGTGCACACACACACACATACACATACTTCATAAAAATGTAATAATAAAAATAATAACTACAAAAGCACTGACTCCTCATTTGGGTCCACAAGATAACTAAAAGCAGACTGAAAGCTTGGCAGCTCTGCCTTCATTTTGTGTCTGACTCCTTGCATTGGGGCCAGAGTCCTGCCTGATTTTGCCTATGCGTGTTCAAAACTTAAGGGGTGCCTGCCTACCTAACCTGTCTCATCACCAGATCAAGGCTGAAGCCACAGAAATCAGCATCCTCTGAACACCTGGATTCCAAAAGCAGCAAGACCTCTCAAGACAGACCACACCCTAGGAAGGTGTATCCTCTAGGACACAGCAACACCCTAGAGCAGCAGCAGGAACCAGGTCACATCCTCAGAGGAGACACCAGCAACAACCCTGGCTCACCTTGCAGAAGCAAAGATGGAGAGATAGAGGACTGTTTAATTATGCATGCACCTGGCCCTCTTCCTTGCTTAGTTATGCATGCTTCTAGCCTCCTGCCACAATTCTTCCTGTCTTTCTTTTTTGAGACAGGGTTTCTCTGTGTGTAGCCCTGGCAATCCTGGAACTCACTCTACAGACCAGGCTGGCCCCTAATTCACAGAGGTCCACCCTGCCTTTGCCTCCCTCCCGAGTGCAGGGTTTAAAGACATGCAGTTCCACAGCCTGGCTCTTTTTGCATTTCAACCTACAGCTCTTGTCAGCATCCCAAGGATGAACTTGGAGTCATGGGTCTCCTTTTTCATCCCTCTTCCCAATTCATGAATTCAATCTCCTTTCTCTGGTTTTCACCATCACTGGTCATCCTGGGGCAGGTGTCCAAACCTAGCCTGTTGGAGCTGCCAAAATGTGGGCTTTTGCCCTAAAAATTCTGCTACCATTTCTACCTTTTCTCCTTTAAGGCAGAACTTAAGAGAACAGAGGCAGGAAAAAGAGGGAACAAGAAAGATAGTGGGCAAGTGCCTACATTATGAAACTGAGTTCACCCCAACGCCTGGCTTGGTGTTTAACAGAGAAGCAGTTGTTTCTCTGCGGCATTGTTAATTTTGCTGAAGCTGCTGACGAAGCTGCTTGTACTAGACACGTGTGTCACATGCTTCCAGGCAGAAAGCAGAAAGTACGGGGCAGCCTACTACATCATGCTACCCAAGGGGAAGGGTTTCTGAGGAAGCGGGAGCATGCAAACAAGGACTGCTTCCTTCCTCCCCTCTTGTTTTCACCGATGTATAAATGGCTGCTCTTCCTGTATCTCCAGTGTCCTGACATGGCCCTTTCTCTTTCTACTTAGCAGGCAAATATGACCTTATCACATAAACAGCTAATAAACACAGGCTCCAGACTCTCAGGAATTTGCTGAGCCTCAAAATACTCAGTCAATGAGTGGATGAAGCATATACTTTCTGCCCAGAGGATTATGGGAAAGAGATTCTGCTCCAGCGTCCCTGGTCTTTCCTGTGGTGTCGTCTTGCTTCTTAGTTGTGTTGTGACCATTTCTTGTTCTCGTGTATTTGTTTACTGTTAAGACAAGGCGGTGGAGGTGGAATCTATGCGTGGGGATGTCCAATTTTCGATTTAACATGGTAGATATCGTGATATCTATTTAATGTGGCAGAATCCACTCCTCTATTCAAGCATATATTCACTTAATAGCAGTGCTGGTGAGGTGGCCGAGCAGGTAAGGCCACTTGCTCTACAAGCCTGGTGACCTGAGTTCAATCCCTGGAAACCACAGAAAGGTAGAAGGAGATAACCAACTCCACAGAGCTACCCTCTAACCTCCACGTGTGTGCCATGGCACATAAACGCCACTGTATATGCACACACATGCACAATAATGATATAAGCTTTTAAAAAATGTGTGTTTTGTGTGTGCAGGTGTTTTGCATCCATGTGTCTCTGCATCACAACCATGCAGTGCCTGTGGAAGCCAGAAGAGGGCACCAGATCCTTTGGGACTGGAGCTACAGACTGTCATGAGTCCCCACCAATGGATGCTGGGAATTTAATTAGGTCTCTGAACAAGCACCAAGTGAACTTAAACCCTGAGCCATCTCCCTGGCAGCATAAATAAATAAATAAATAATAATAATAATAATAATAATAATAATAAAATTTAAGACTATCAAGGGACAGAGAAATGGCTCAATGGTTCAGAGTACTTCCTGTTCTTGCAGAGAACTCTAGCTTTGTCCCCAGTACCCCCGTGTAGTGACTCACAAACACCTGTCCCTCCAGCTCCAGGACAATAGAGCCCCCTCTCTGAATCCTGCTTCTGCGCCCCCATGTGCACATCCCCACGCAAAGACACAAATTAGCCAGAATTTACATTTTAAAAATTAACTTATTTTTATTTGTATGGTGTTTTGCCTGTATTTCTGCCTGTTCATCCCTTGCCTGCAGTGCCCAGAGAGACCATAAGAAGGCATCAGAACCCCTAGGACTACAACAGTTATAAGATACCATGTAAATGGAATTTGAACCCAGGTCCTCTGGAAGAGCAGCCAGTGTTCTTAACCATTGAGCCATCCTTCCAGCCCCACATAATTACATTTTTTTAAATTTAAAAATATAATCCTTACCAGGTATTCTCTTATACCTCTGGAGATCAAATAAGAACAGGGCAGCAGCCATGTGATCCCCCATGGAATGTAGAGTCAGAGAGACAAAAACAAACACTTGACTAATGGGTCCTTCTTACCCTCCTACCTCTAAGTCCTCCACACCCACAGCAAGTCACAGGTAGTCAGTCACCCAAGGCAGGCTCAGCAGACTTACTCTGGCACCTCTCCAAAGCCTTCCAAAGGCTGAGCTTCAGCGGCATAGATCTTGGCGTAGTATCTGGCAGTATTCTGAACGTAACATTCCTGTATCCCCCAAAGACATTGTAATCCAGATGGTTAGAAGAATTCAGAATATTGCTCAGCAAGACGATTCCTGTTCTGAGATTGGTCAGATGAATAGATCCCTAGCCCCCATCATATCGCCCTTTGCCCAAGGGGATTTTTTTTTTTTTTGGCCTTGGGGACCAACATGATCACAGCCCATTGGACCCCAGGTGACAAAAGGAAGTGTCCCTGAGCTGAGCCCAACTCCTTCTGAGGACCGAGAAGCCAATGTTGTCCCCCAAACATTCAGCCTTAATCCTCACCCTGAAGAAGCCAAATGCCCGTATGGAAATACTCTCTCATTTTCATCTCATGCTGCGCTTCATTCTCTCACCCAGAGAGCCACGCTTGCTCCCTCACCCACCTGGGCAGCGAGTTTGTAGTTCCTCTGCACAAGTTCATCGTTGTTTCTGGTCCCATGGGCAACAGCGTTGTGCACCTTGAGCACGCATGCGTGGCCGGGCTGGAAGACCGGCATGAGGCCCTGCATCACCGTGCTACGGAAAGCTTTGCGGTGCACCCCTTCCCCGAAGTGAAGCTCCTCCGTGGAGATCTGGCCACGCAGATGGTCCCCGAAGTAGCTGTCATTGAAGACGTCCTCTTTGAAGATGAGCTGGCTGAATTCTATCTCTTCGCATCCTACAACACAGAACAGCTTTCAATGGGCGGGATCATCTCCAGTCCTAGTCTGTGATTTAACTACAACTCCTTTATAAGGATAAAGACTGCGGGGTGGTGGGGGCACATGCCTTTATCTCAGCATTCGGGAGGCAGGGGCAAGCAGATCTCTGTGAGCTCGAGGTCAGCCTGATCCACAGAGTGAGTTCCAGGACAGGCTCCAAAGCTGTACAGAGAAACCCTGTCTCAAATATCCCCCCTCCAAAAGCAGATAAAGATAAAGGTGACCTGTAGAACCCAGAGGGACAGATCATGGTTAGTGCTGTACAGAGACAAAGTTAACAGGAGTGAGGAGAGAAACCATTGAAGGAGAACAGGCTGAGGGCTGTGTACAAGGGAAGGTTGGTTGGAACAAAGTTGGGGAGTCCAGGAAAAACTTTTGTGTATCTTGTAAAACAAAAGCAGAGACGTGCAGAGTAACCAGAAGCAAGACTAAAGGATGGTGAAACAGAAGAGGAAAAAGCACCATTGAGGAGATCCGGCAGCACTTGTCTCTCAGCCCTTTCTTTTTCCTTCCTTCCTTCCTTCCTTCCTTCCTTCCTTCCTTCCTTCCTTCCTTCTTTCCTTCCTTCCTTCCTCCCCCACTTTTTGACAATCATGCTGTGCAGCCCAGCTGGCGTGGAATTCACAATTTCTCTGCCTCAGTCTCCTAAGTACTCCTGTTAGTCTGTAATATCACAGTGTTGGCTAGACCATTTCCAAATCACGATTCTAGGGATTTTGTTGCCTTTTGAGACAGTGTCTCATATGACCAGGCTGACTTCAAACTCACTATCCAGCTGAGGCAAGACACACACACACACATACACACACACACACACACACACAGAGCAAAGCCAGGGGCACAGATACAACCATCCCACCCAGCAGTCTCAGTCTCTTGCTTTCTGTGTGCTAGACACTAGAATATCTTGATTCTCTCCAATGCTTGTTTTCCAGAGGTCTCAGTTATTTTCTTTGCTTTAAATGCCACGCAGCACATCTTCCAGATGCTCACCCGATATGACCACCAATGCTTCTCTCTCCTGAAAAACTGGTCCAGGGTGCTATGCTGTGGCAGAGGTTGTCTATGCTTGTGCTGATGCAGGGCTGGCTGCAGGGGTGTGTGGAGCTGCTTTGTTGCTGTGTGCAGTTCTTCCCAGCAACCACATCTTGTTAAAAAGTGGCTGTGTGGGGGTAATTTAGATCACAGGCCATAGTCGAGAGCCTTCCCACTCTCCCAGCACAATGGGTAGGGTAGGCGGGTGCAGGTTGACAAGGCATTTTCCCAGAGGGATTACCACACAACTGGGGGAGCCCATGGGTGTGAATTCGTCCCACCTTGACTAAAAGTCAGAGAGCTCAAGCTTAGTCTTGCTACTTCAAAGTATATGAGAGGAGGTTTGGCCTAAGGTGTGGTTACTAACAGGATGTTTTGACCTAGGGTGTGGTTACTTGGTGTTTGGGGTATTGAGAAAGTAATTACTTGGTTTATTCTTTGTATCTTTATTCTTTAGAAGCCTTTTGACGTTCCCCTCATTTCTGGACGAGGGTACATAAAGACTGTGAGAAATAAACACGACCAAGTTTCAGCATTTACTAGATGCCTTCCCGACTCTATCAGCTATCTCTTGTCTATTTCTTTCTTAATCCTCACGCTTCCCTTCAAGAGCAGACGAATAAGCCAGGCAGGATCCCGCAGATGTCTCCCCAGTGAAGATACAACACAGGACACAGCGAGCTCAGAGTGCACCAGACTATGGGAACTCGGTGCATAGCCTAGGGGCCGCATGGATGTCTAGGAGCAGCTATTAGACTATAGAACACCAGATGCGCTGAAAGACAGCACAAAAACAAGCACATCTTTACTTTTTCATTAGAATGCAATCAAACAAGGTTATATCCTGCTTAGCTGAAAAGAACACTGAAGGATCAAAACGTAAGCATAACCGACTAGAAAGCTCCATGCAAGCAAGATTTATGCCTAGAGGAAAAATTCAAGTCCAAACTCCCCCGGACAATTTTCCAAAACTGCATGGCTTCAGTTCAGTCTTTTCCACAAACAATACATTTCTAGGTGTTTGAAATCTACTAAAATTATAGCTGGGAGAATGGCCCCTCTAGCCCCATGGAAACGGATCCTAAGCCATCATCACGGGCATCTAAGGTAGCCCTTCCTGGGAGACAGAAGAGTGCACTTGGTCGGGAGAGTGCACAGAGCAATGTGTGTTCGAGGAGCTGGCTGTGTTTTGGTGGGGAGCCCACTCTCTGCCAGGTCAGCTGACGTCACTTACCTCTATATTCTGTGCGACTGGAAAGCTGTTTGAGAACTAGAAGGAAACAGAGAGACCAGAGTCAGGAGGGCGTCCCTCTGAGTTGGCAGGGGCCTGGGGCTTTGACGAGCAGCCGAGAAGAAGCCGAGGTTTACCTTCCGCTGTGAGGTTAAACTCAGCAGTGACTTTTCCATAACTGTTCTTGAGGCAGCAGTAATAGAGGCCCTGGTCCTTCTGACCAGCTTGGACGATGGCCAAGGAAACACTGGAGTTGTCCCCTGCGCTGGAATAGGGGACATTAATATTCACATGCTTCAGCGTTCTGGAGTTCTAGCGTTCTCTAGAAGGAAGGAGCTAAGGTCTTCCTGCCCTGTGCTTGCAGCCATCGGGCTGGCTGATAGACCAGATTCCCCCAATCTGCTAATTAAACAACATATTTACACATAGGATCGCTGCATTGTGGTTTAATAGTCTTTTACTTTTCTTTCTTTTTTATTTTATTATTATTTTTGTTATTATTTCTTGAGACGGGTTTCTCTGTGTAACAGCCCTGGCTGTTCTAGAACTTACTTTGTAAACTAGGTTAGCCTCAAACTTACAGAGTCTGCCTCTGCCTCCCAAGTGCTGGGATTAAAAGCGTGTGCTACCACCACCTGGTTTTGGTTTAATAGTCTTACTCCAACACACAACAAGAATGCACAGAAACGTTCTGGGGGGGCTGACATCAGGACAGTCAGAAGGGCGAGTGCTAAAATCTGGGAGCTGTGGTTGTATAGCCTCGACTTATCTGAATTAGGCTGACCATACAGGTATCCTGTGTATGAGGGAAGTCATTGACTCTAAACCCAAACCTAAACATAGACACACTAAAAATCTAAAGAAAGTGGCTCCTAGCTTTACCTGAGGATTCAGAACTGAGGGCTCCTACTTGGTAGGTGATTTTTGTTTTGAGATGGGATCTCACTAGGTTGGTCTCAAATTCCAGGCCCCAAGCAATCAATTCTCTTGACCCAGTCTCCCTGCAAACATGGTCAGGGGCCCTTTTAAATAATGTACATTTAGTGATTATGTGTATCCCTCCATCTGCCTGCCCAATATTAATTAGTAATTCCTATGAATATAAAACCTGAGGGCATGGTGGATAAAGACGATGATGACAGATAATGTATCGTGCTTGCTAAGTATCAGGCAAATAAAAAAATCACCTTCATGGTATCCTCAGAACAGCTTCAGAGACCCACAAGCCCTGCTGCCGGTCCTCAGATGATGAGGGAACGGAGACACTAAGAGATGGAAGCTTGACCTTAGGCTGGCTCCCCCAGGAACTTCTGATTCCTGCCTGCCCTTAAGTCGGGGATAATTACGCCAATGGTTAGAGCTGCAGTCTTTATTCAAAAACTGGAAACAATGTGCTTTGCTACAAAGCTATACTAAAACATTGCAGTTGCGTCCTCCCACAAGGATGGCAGACAGGGTGCACTCCCCTTTGGGTTTGCCTCATAGTTTGACCAGCACCCATTCATCTAGGTTTGTCTCAGTTGCTCTCTCAACACAAGGCTTTGTTGTTGGCTGTTTTTTGTTCAGTAGACTTCAGCTCTTTGACTGGTACCGCCTGGAGTAGACCAATGGTTGAAAACAAGGCCCACTAAATCCTGTCACTTTCTCCCCTGTTCTCCCTCCTAGGTTTGTATAGCCTGCACAGCAACAGGCATGGGAAGGGGTAATAAGATCCCCCTAAAAGGCTGGGGTTAAACTTAAGGAAATCGTCCCATTAGCATCATCTCTGAAGCTCAAGAATTCTCTGATTCTTGGTCCAGATTCAGGAAGACCCCATCTGTCTTGCTGCCTTCTCTCGTTGCCCCAGTTCCTTGTGGGAAAAAAGACTGAGAACTCAGAAAGGCCTGGATTCCAATCCTGTGGTGAATCTTGGACACACTACTTAACCACACCCTCAACTTCCAGCACGTGAACCCAGAAAAAAACAATGTTGCTTGCTGACTGGAATATGGGGAGCAGCAGATACCAGGCATGTGAGTCTCTAACAAAAGGCCTCACCTTGGTCATGCGTCATGAGGGTGGAGTTCAGTAGTGTCAATGGACTTTCTCCATGGAGGAAAACCACTTTTTAATGTCCCAAAGATGGCCGTTTCATGGTTAGTCATGGGGATTCAGTGATGGGGAAGGAAAGCAGCCATTAACTCAGAGGAAATACGGCAATGCTACTGCAGAAAGCAAATGAGATCTGTGTCTTTTGAGTCGGAGAGAAGAGCTGAGTCCTATCTGTTACTCTGTAAGGAAGGAGTCCCCATCGTTAGGGCAGCTGGGCTACATGGACAGAAGATGCTCAGCTGTGAAGACGAATGTCAAAGGTGTCCACACCAAGAGTGTGACCAGAAGCACACAGCCAAAGGTGAAACTGGCTGCACAGAGAGAAGCCTATCTCAGACTCCTCAGAGAACTACATCACCCAACCCGATTCCCAAGGAACCGGAGGCAGCTGCCAGCATCCACTCAGCACCCAACCTGGGCTGAACAGTCCTTGGTTTTTCCTCTCCAGAATCATCTGATGGGGATGTACCTTCAGTAGCACCCAGTTTGTTGTTGCCTGGAGTCCAGCATAAAGACCTCACCCAGTTATCAGCTGGACCACTCCTGTACATGATGCTTCCTGCAAAATCTCATGACACTCCCAAGCGTCTATTTTTCCCAGCGAGGAGAGTGGGTTCCTAGTAGCCAAAAGAGTCTGAATGGCCACAAGAGCCTTAGAGATTGCCAACTTGAAAGCTCCCCAGAGCCAAGACACATCACTGCCACACACGCACACAGTGCCTGCCACTGCATTTGTTTTACTTATTTATATATTTTTGTGGTGTGACTAGGGTCTACAAGCCCTGCCCACAAGGACACATTCTGACTCCCAACTTCCGAACTGTAGCCTGTAAGGAAACTACCTAAAACTGGACAGAGGCCAGAGGTGACTGCATGTCCCTGGTAGGTCACAAGTCACCACAGGCTTACCACAAGGTGACTTTGCTTACAGGAGATTGCTCTGCATTTGCCTTTGCTGTTCAGTATTTAAAATAGAACACATCCAGCTCTATGCAGTGGTTCAGCCTGTACTGTCAACTATGAAGGAAGTTGAAACAGAAGGATTGTAAGTTCAGGACCAGCCTGGGCAACTAGTGAGATCCCAGCTCATGAAACAAAAACGGACAATAAAATGATCTTCCCAGACAGTTTTGAGTCATGTATTGACTTGAAGGTTTCTGTGCAGAAGAAAAGATAACTCACAAGTTTAGTGCCTGTTAAACATAAGCTGACCTCATATTTATTAAAAAATATGTCTTCTATATCCTTTTACCATATTGGCTATTTAGATCTTCATTCCTCAAATGCCCATTTGAACAGTTTTACCATATTATTTATTCCCTTCTCATTTGATGAGTTTAAGACCTTTGCTATGTTAAATTCACCTTTGAGAGAGTTCACCTCTTTGAAATCTATACCTTGGCAAATGCTATAATTTGGGTATTGAATGTCCTCCAGAAAGTGCATATGCTAAAGATTTGTCCCCAGGGTGATGCTAGTGGGTCCTTTAGGAGGTAAGGCATAGAAGTTGGTTTTTAAATTCAAAATATAAAATGGAAAAAAAGAAAGCATATTCAACAAATGGTGCAAGAAAAACTGGATATCAACATGCAAAAGAATGAAAATAGATCCATATCTATCTCCATACACAAAACTCAAGTCCAAATGGATCAAAGACCTCAACATAAAGCCAACCACACTGAACCTCATAGAAGAGAAAGTGAGAAATACACTTGAACTCATTGGCACAGGATACCAGTTCCTAAATATAACCCCAGTACCACAGACACTGAGAGCAACAATTAATAAATGGAACCTCCTAAAACTGAGAAGCTTCTGTAAAACAAAGGACATGGTCAACAAGACAAAATGGCAGCCTACAGATTGGGAAAAGATCCTCATCAACCCCACATCAGACAGAGGTCTGATCTCTAAAATATATGAAGAATTCAAGAAACTTGACATCAAAAGAACGAATAATCCAATTAAAAAAAATGAGGTACAGACCTAAACAGAGAACTCTCAACAGAAAAATCTTAAAGGGTTAAAAGATACTTAAGGAAATGCTCAACATACTTAGCCATCAGATGTAAATCAAATCAAATCAAATGCAAATCAAAACAATTCTAAGATTCTATCTTATACCTGTCAGAATGGCCAAGATCAAAATCACTGATGACAGCTTATGCTGGAGAGGATGTGGGGTGAGGGGAATTCTCTTCCATTGCTGGTGGGAGTACAAACTTGTACAGATGCTTTGGAAATAAGTATGGTGATTTCTCAGAAAGTTAGGAAACAATCTACCTCAAGACCCAGCAATACTGTTGTTGGGTATAAACCCAAAAGACGTTCAATCATACCACAAGGACACGTGCTCAATGCTCACCTATGTTCATAGCAGCATTATTTGTAATAACCACAGAACCTGCAAACAACCTAAATGCCCCTCAACTGAAGAATGGATAAAGAAAATGTGATACATTAACACGATGGAGTACTACACAACAGTAAAAAATAGTGACATCTTGAAATTTGCAGGCAAATGGATGGATCTAGAAAAAAACCATATTGAGTGAGGTAACCCAGATCTAGAAAGACAAATATAATATGTACTCACTCATAAGTGGCTTTTAGACATAAAGCAAAGAAAAACCAGCCTACAGGCCACAACCCCAGGTAAACTAGACGACAAATAGGACCCTAAGGAGACATGCGTGGATCTATATAGGGAGGTGAAAAAAACAAGATCTCCTGAGTCATAGGAGTTACAAGGAGAGGGCAGAAGGGGAGAGGATAGGAAGGGAGGATAGTGGAGAAAAATATATAGCTCAATAAAAAACAATTAAAAACAAAGTTGATCTTTATATTTTTGAGGACATGTCCTCAAGGGGGATTGTGGCCCTCGAGCCTGTACTCTTAGCTATGACGTCAGCATTTCACTCTAACACAGGCCTTGCCCCTCTCACTGGCATCGGGAACACCCATCACAGACCCGGACTGACAGGTCTGCCAAGTCCTAGACAGAACCTCTACAGTGTGAGAAAGATAACGCTCCACTATGAGGACGTTATCTCGGGTTATTTCACTAGAGTGATGGAGAGTCAGCTGACGCAATAAGGCCCTGAGCTACTTCAGGTAGGGCCGGATAAACATCACGTACTGAGCTGGACGTAAGGGTGAGAGGAATTAGCAAGCTTTTGAAAACCATCTGAAATCATGCAAACGATTTGTCAATGGACAGCGGAGTTGTGACTTACAAACTTTCTCAAGCAGCAATACGAACACAAATTGGTCTAAGCTATTTCTAAGAAGAAACAAAGCAAATGTTACAAAGACTTTAAAGGCCTTGACTGCTTGCTAGTGACGCGTGCTCCCTAGAGGGAGGCTGGGATTTTGGGAATATTCCGTAGATACAAAGAGGACCTGAGAAGTGCCAACACTTATCTGAGCCTAGCATGAGAAGAGTTGATTAAACAAGGCGGGAAGTGCCGGTTAATTGTTCTTGATTGACAGCTTCAGAGAAGAATTAAAATCAATAATGAGTTTGTTAGAAGTGAAGCTCTAGGGGGCTGCCAGGATTTACAAATCAAAGCACTTCTTCGCTGTTATAATTGTTTTTAAGCCAAGTACAAGACAGACGGGGTAATGGGTTACATTCGAGAAATAGTCTCCAGACATTCGTTTCAAGCAGGAATGTTTGAATATAGGGGTTCATATTTACCACCTTTTCAGTCTGTTCCTATTGAGATCAAAAGGATAGGAATATTCCCAAGGACTCTGGGAGCTTTCCCGGGGCCTCTCTGGGCCGAAAGAAGCTCTTGGGAGCTGCTTAAGTTACACTGACCTCCACTGATTGGAGGACTTGTCAGATGAGCCAGGACTGCACAGGTTTTTTGAACAGGCATTCCTTCATTCCTGGGGCTGATTTAGGCAGCTGAGTGGGCTGGCCTACATGATGTGTTTAGGCAATGATGCTCACACTCACCTCCTTCTCTGACTCCTGCGACAACTTAAGGACCTGGATATAATATGCTCTTTCTATCTTAAGGGAAGCTGTTTCTCTTCCTCAAAAGCTTTATTTTTCTGTGACCTTGTGGCTCTCCTCCACCTCTATCTTCTCCTTAGCTTTATTTGACCTTTGTTAGATCAATGGGAGGTTCTGAATCAGAAAACATCCATAGATAAGAGTTCCAGAGAGTTTTTTAACCTTAGGCCCGGTAGGCCTGGAGGCCTTCAAACTAGAATGTCACACTGTCTGCATCCTGACTAAAAACTGGAACCAGAGAGCCTGCAATTCGCAGGATGCACAACTCAAAGATGGCAGAGCTGAAGCAAGAGCCAGCCACCATGTTCCCTGTTGGGACACTGGGCACCATTCTTCCTCTTGGATACTGGGTTAGCCTTTCTTCACTCTGACAGAAATGTCTGACAAAGACTTCCTTTTGACTTGAGGTTTCGAGCCGTGGCCAGTTGACTCCATGTTTCTGGGTCTCTGTCAGGGAAGAAGGGCATGGAGGCTGGAAGCCCTCACTTCACGGCAGCCAAGAAACAGAGAGACAAGAGCCACAGACAAGGCGCCTTCAAAGGCGCACCCCAGATAACCTGCTTCAACCAGGCCCCACATCCGAGTTTCCACCCCCTCTCCCCAGTAATGCCACCAAGTTAGGAAGCCATCAGAGGACTGTCCAGTTCCGTCAGAGCCCTCACGTTCTAATTCGTTCTCCAAAGCCCATCACCTGTCAATCAAGCCTTTAGCTCAGGAGCCTTTGGCGGGGGAGGGGCACTTCATATCCAATGACATTGGATATGGAATCTCTGTCTCAACTTGCCTCTCATTTCCTCTTATGACAACCACACTAAGTAACAGGGCAAAAGTGAGTGGACAGTCGGGGTGGACAAGCGTCCCACCTTCTCTTGACCTGGGCTATTGACTGTGAATCTTTCGTCCAGCAGATGGTCGAATCCTCGTGGATCTCTGCAAACTGGCAGCTCAGCTTCACATTCCCAGAGCGGTCGGGAGCCATCTCAGCCTGGATCTTCTTCAGCAGCACTGGGGCTAGAAGCACATTTGCAGGTTAGTGTAGACGAGAGGCCTTCGCACTTCACCTCGGGTATCAGCAACAGTCCTGAGAGACAGGGAGCAGGTCCCTAAATCACAGATGGAGCAACCCGGGAGCCGTGGCTGCTCAAATGCAACCGTGGGAACAAATAAAGCACCCGAGAGCCGTGGCTGCTCAAATGCACCCCTGGGGAACAAATGAAGCACCCTAATAGAAAACACTTCCTTTTCGTTACTTAAATTCCAAAGGTCTATAATGCTCCTAGCAAAATAGAACTTGAGCTATTCTGTTTTTTTTGTTTTGTTTTGTTGTTTTGTTTGTTTGTTTTTCGAGACAGGGTTTCTCTGTAGCTTTGGAGCCTATTCTGGAACTAGCTCTTGTAGACCAGGCTGGCCTCGAACTCACAGAGATCTGCCCGCCTCTGCCTCCCGAGTACTGAGATTAAAGGTGTGTGTCACCACCGCCCAGCTTATTTCTGGTTTCTAATTTAGATTTATTTAACTTTATATGCACATATATCTGTGCACCGTGTGTGTGCTTGGTGTCTGCAGGGGTCGGAAGAGGCCATCAGATTCCCTGGAACTAAAATTATAGATGGTTGTGAACCTCCATGTGAATGCTGGGAATTGAACCTGGGTCCTCTGCAAAAGCAGCAAGTGCTCTCCAGCCCAAAATGTTTTTTTCTTTAAGAGGAGAAAGGTCCAGCAGATTATAGAAGCCTAGTCCATAGGATTTGGCCCAAATAAGATACTGTTAAATAATTACCTGATCAAAATCAGAGCTGGTGATTCAGCAGTGGAATGAAATTGGCACTATCAAGGTAAGTGAGGTTAAGACCCCACGTGTAAAAGACAACTCAATAGTAAATTACCTACGGGATAAAATTCATTCACACATGCACGCACACAGTGCAGCTGTCTGTGAAGATGGTCTGGTGGACTGGACATGTGTGTTTGGCATCCACCCCACTGGCAAAAGCGATGTCTATCTGGACGGAGCAGAAACAGTGAGGCGATGACTCCCGCAGGTTGGGCTGAGATTTGAGTTTGCCTCTTGAGTTTAACCTGAGATGAGTGTAGATTCTTATGAGCAAATGTGTAATTGGGAAGAGCAGCCACTGGGTGGCGGTATAGGCATTAGAATGACAGGAGGCCCGTGGGATCCAGCTGAGAGAACAGTTCATCAGGCCTGTGTTTGAGGGAGTGTGATCAATTTAATACAGTCCAGGTGGGGCAGAGCGCTGCGGTGTTGGCAATACAAAAGAACACATCATCACAGAATGCTGTCTGGTCCACAGGCCAGCCAGAAGTACCAATTCAAGGCCTTGCTCACTCGGCTGCCTCGAAGTTCGCTACAGTGGATGTGCTTCGTTGTTATCAGTTTTTCCTCCACCCCACAGATAATAAGATATCAGAAGGAAATTTAAGATCAGACTCTGGCCGCTGGAAGTGGAAACGGGCTGGCTGAGTCATAAATCTCTCAACTAGAGCCTCCATGAGGTTGCTGCCCATGTTATGGGAGCTGATCACATCGTGGTATGGGGAGGAGGGAGGAGGGTATAGCACAGGGGCAGAGATGAACGACATAGTCAGCCAAGACCATGTTCGTGTGGCAGACAAGTAGAAACGCCACCTCTGAGTACACTAGGTTTATCTTCTGACCAGCCTGGTTGAGGGAAGATAATTAAAAAAAAAAAAAAAATCCTCAGCTACAGAGCCAGCTTGATGGAGTAAAGCCTGTTGTTGCCAAGCCTGACACCTGAATTCAATCCCTGAGCGCCCCACCTCCACTCCCCGGCTCCGTGGAAGGCAAGAACTGACTTCTGGAAGCTGTCTTTAGACACACAAACACACGTGCATGCACGCACGCGAGCACGCACGCACACTCATGCAAGTATGCACGCACATGCACACACGCACACACCTAAATGTAATTTGAAAAGACTCTCCTGTTATACAGGAAGCTTCCCCTGCGCTAAGCTTTGGATGCCCCTTGGCACCCAGCGTCCATTTTATTTCTCTCAGGATCACCTGAATGCATTTACCCACCGCATATCCCACCGTGTCACAGGGGGAGGGCATTAAATCAGGGCTGCTCGGAAGGCAAGCACCAGGCTGCTGGGTCCGCACAGTCAAGGCAGTAACCAGCTCCATGTGACCCACATAGACTGGAGATGAGGGCCCAGGTCTCACAAAGCCAGCCCCCTGCACCAGAACTGAAGACCTCCTCTCTGTTGTATTTTCCCAGTGGGCACATTAAACAGCAGGCCAAAAACAGGAAAAGCTGGAAAGCAAAACCAAGACCTTTGGAGTGCTCACTGCTGAAGTAGATTTTTTTTTTCTTGGTTTTTCCAGACAAAGTTTCTCTGTGTAACAGCCCTAGCTGTCTTGGAATTAGCTCTTGTAGACCAGGCTGGCTCCAACTCATAAGAGATTGACCTGCCTCTGCCTCCCAAGTGCTAGGATTAAAGGGATGTGTGGTACTGCCCAGCTAACAGTTTTCCCGTAGCTTTGGAGCCTTCCTGGAACTTGATGTGTAGGTCAGGTTAGTCTTGAACTCACAGAGATCTGCCTGCCTCTGTCTGTTGAGTACTGGGATTAAAGGTGTGTGCCCTCACTACCCGGCTCATGAAGTAAATTCCTCACTGATAGAAAGAAGCCCATACATGGTAATTAGAACTAATTATAAAAAGCAGGTCTTGTCAAGGGCAGAGTTTATGAAGCAACCATCCCATAATAGTAAATCATTTCCCGGGTCATTGATCCTCATCTGTGTATTGACTCTTCAGACTTCTGCTGCCAGGCAGCATGGGAAGGCATAACTCCAAAAGAATGTAGCTTCTTTAGGGCTGTGGGATGGGCATGACTGAACAGTCCCTTAGGCCAAATGGAAGGGATGCTGCCAAAGTCTTTGAGGCTCAAAGGGACTGGAACCTGGGTAGATTCGGGTACTGGAGACAGGAAGTTGGGAAGAAATTTTATACTTAAATTTGGAAGAAAAACCAAGGTTCCCTTGAGTTACACTTAACGATTAAAAAAGAGAATCTCAAATTGGGTTGAAATGTTTCTTTGTGTCCCCTGCTCAGCGTGTGGTTGTTTTAGTCTTACGGATTTGCTACACCAGTGTCGCTGCTCATATTTTAAAGGAGATTTCTAAAAGAGATAATTAAACCACAAAGCATCTTCGCCACATCCCCCTCCATCAAACGCACCAGCAGGCAGCCTTGATGAGGGGTTCTCTGGTGTGTATCTCCTGTCAAGTCACCTGGGGACTGGGTACAAGTGCAGGTTTTTGAGGACGCCCCCGCCCAACATCAGGAACTGTATTGGTGCTCAAAATCCTGCGTTTGAACAAGCTTGCCAGAGAAATGATGCCTGCCTGCTCAAGTTTGAGAACCTTGGGACCCTTGGTCACAGCCGTGACATCCACACCCACCCCACCGGACGCTCACCTAAACTGACAGGGACATAGGAGGCTCACGCCTAGCCCTTCAACAATGCTAAAAGCAGCAAGGCCTCACCTTTGCCTTCCACTCCGCAAGGGGCCTTTTGGGAGTCTTTTTTCTCGTCAGTGTGGGACAGGGACTTTTCAAACTTGGGCGTTTTCTTCAGAATGGAGTTCTTTCTCATATTTTCCCTCTCCTCCAGTCTGAGTCTCAGGGCTGCCACCCTGGAGAGAATTTTCTTCTTTACCCCTGCAGCCAAATGTCCACTCCCTGAGGCCTCTTGCTTTTTCTTGTCCTCCTCCGGCCCAGCCGTTGCTGATGGGGCCCCAGGTGTCTTGCTGGTCTGGGCCACCACATGCTTCTGCTGTTCCTCTCTGGACTTTTTCTTGCTAGCCTGGGCGGAGCCCTTTTGACACAGGTCCTTAAGTAATAAGCCTTCAGGGGCTTTCTCTGACTCACGGTCTCCTGAAATGAAAGCCAAGGTCTTTGCTGGGGAGTGGGATGAGGTTAGAGGTTTGGTTTCCACAATCTGAATCTCCTCCGATTTCAGTTCCTCAACGCCATGCCTTATTGACAAGCGTGTGACGTTTCCTTTGAGAGATGAAGTACATGGTGTGTGTGTGAGATCACTTGAGGAGGGCACAGGTTTCCCACACTCGCTCTCCATGGCTCCTTTTTCCTTCCATGTAGGAAGTACATCTTGGTGGTTTCTGGGCACAGACTCACCGTGAATGTGGCTTGTGATGTCATTGGTCTCCGCCTCAACAGATGCAGGAGTCGCTCCTCTGAGACAACTAGACAGACAGGTCATGGAGGAAAATAATTCGGCCTTGTCCTTTGTCACCTGCCCAGCCTCTCCTAGGCCTCGGTCACTGTCATCTTGGCTCATGTTGCATACGCTTGGAATTCTTTGTCTTTCTTCACCAGGACATTGGGCTTGACAAAGGGCAGCCTGGGCCTCTGCTTTTGCCTTGTCAGCCTGACTTTGTTTGGTGTCTGCCCACTCTCTGTCTACGTGATTTTGGTTGACTGTGCTTTCATTTGGAATGATTTCCCCACTGTTCTGGGGATGGGGAACGTGCAGGGTGGCGGGTTGGATGTCTGCCCTCTGACATGTGTATCTGTCGGTGGATTCATTCCCTTCCGCGTTGGAGTCAGAGGGCTCTGGCTTCTCAGACCAGACACACTCCATCCCACGTCTACCACCAATGGGATCCACAGAGGACTCCAGGATGCTAGGAACGTTCACAAACTGTCGAAAGAAGGCAGGGCCGCATAGTTTCCTCTCATTTCCTTCCTGGTCTTCATTCCTGGTTTCAACACTTTCCGTCTCCCCACTTTTGGAAGCCTCTAGTGGAGAGACTGTGACTTCCAACCCCGCTTCCTCAACAGGGTCTACGGATGACTCCAGGAGTCTGGGTTGGTCCAGATACTGGGAAGATAGACTGCTGTAATACACGCATCTGACTGGTGCCTCGCCTGCCCAGGCATCCCTGTTAGCACCTGATCTTAGGATGTCAGACAGAACCCAGCCCCTATTAGGGGCAGTGAGACCAACTTCTGCCTCCTTGGACCCATAATGCATGGCTTGTTCTGCTTGCCAGGTTTCAAAATCAGGAGCTTCCAGCGTTATGATCTTCACTTTGCTGACTGTAGCCCAACTTCCTAGTCCTACGTCTTCTTTTTCTTCAAGGAGGATGTCAGGGAGAGACGGAGCATTGCTTAGTTCATGTGATGGAAGTTGCTTATCATCTTCCATAGTCTTCTCAGCTGCTACTGAGACACTGGTCCTCGGGTCAGTGCTCTGCCCAATTTCTTCCCCGGAATCTGCTAGGGGGTGCTCGAAGGGTTCCGCTTTGACCTCCTGTTGCGTGCCAGATATGGGGGGCAGATTTTCTTGGAAATCATTTGCAGAAAGAGAACGCTGGTGGGATGTGCACTGTTTTCTTTCACTTCCCTTTTCCTGGAAGTCCTCTTCAAGGCTTCCGTCATGGCCTCCCTCCACTAGCTGGCTCTTATACCCAGGCTGGATATCAGTTTGAAAGGGAGCGCTCCACAGATCCTGCCTCTCAGGCAGTGAGAAGTGGCTACGAGCGCCTGGAATCCTGGGTGTTACGATAAACATCTCCCTGGCCATCTCACTAGTAGAGCTGCTTAAAGAACGGCCTGGCTGTATGTTGGAAAGAGATTCAAAATTATTTGCCTCTCGTGCCTCACATGAGGCCTGGTCAGCGTCATCATCAAGGTTGCTGTCCTCAAGAGCTGAAACGGTGTGACAACTGATGGTGTGGACGCTGGTGGCATCAGCTAATGTGTTCTCCTCGGTCTCCCTGGTCACCTGATGGCATTCAACACTAGCAGCCGATGCTGCTGATGGCTCTCTTGGGCATCCCCCGACTGAACTGTAATCGGGAAGTGTGTCTATGGCACCTGGAACACCGAGATCGGAGCTTTTACAGCCTCCTTCGCTAACGTCCGCAAAGGAGCTGTTCTCACCAAGGGGCTGTGTCTCACCAAGCCCCCCGAAGTCGTAGGGTTCTGTGGAAGAGAAGATGGAGGGAGAAGTCCCCAGGTCAGATGGCGTTTCCCCCACAGCACCTCCGCTGGCCTCCTGTGATGTGCCCCAGGTGAAGGCTCCGTTAGAAAGCGGGGACTCGGCTGGTTTTCCATCCCTGCTGCTCTCATACGTAGACCGGGGAGACTCAGAACCTTGTGCCTGAAGAACAGCCAGTGTCTTGTCAGTAGAGCATAAATCACATTCTTTGCTTTGCCCTTCTGTCGGTTCCAAGTCCACAGGGCAAATGTCTTCAGGCAAATATTTATCAGCTGGTGCTCCAACGGGAAGATCCATGGTATCATAACATGTTTCTTGGTCACCGGCTTCAAAACAGCCCGTCACACATGCAGCCTCTCTGCCCCTTGCCCCACTGCCCACGTTTTCCAAGGTGAGGGAGGGAGCAGAGGGCTGAGAGAAACGAGCCTCTGGCTCCTGGCAGTGGGCATTGTCACCTGGAGGGAGAAGATGCCATGGGGAGGGAACCCGGGGCGGTTCCTCATCATTGCCTTCTAGGGTACTCCGTTCATGTGCTGGTTCTGCCCAGAGAGCACCAGGCCTGTGGCCTTCTCTGCTTTGTCTGGCTTCCTGTTGGGACCCCTGAGGAACGACTTCCAGGTCCAGGTATTGGGCCAATGATACATTCTCCTGGTTGATCTCACTCAAGCTGGAGACAACATTTGTTGTGGTCCCGGCGAATGAAGACTCCTCCCCAGCAGGCAGGGAGAAAGCTGGCATCTGCTCGAGATCACTTCTCTCCCCGGTGGGTTCCTGGATTGGCAGCTGGAAAAAGGAAAAGTGGTATTAATAGGATGTTCCTGAGAAAGGCCACTTAGGATTTATCTGCAGCCCCAGGGGTGCTAATCCTTGACAACCTTAACAAACGACAAAGAGCATAGCAAAAAATGACTGAAATCTGAACATTAATCCCCAAACTCACTCTGGCTATTAGACAGTCCCCAGGAAACAGCAAATTTAAACCACTCTAAACCAGGGGGACTCGTGCCCAGTCTCACCACGAGAAACAAAAAGCCTCCTGGCAATCATCATGAGTTTAGTGATTTCCCCCTCTCCCTGAGGGAGAAAGACGGAAATAAAGGGAACGCTAAACTGGTTTGGAACAAATCACAGCAAGACCTGTGGGCATCTCTCGTGAGCAATGACTTTCACGTCATCATTACAAGTGATACCAACACTGCTCACAAAGCAGCTATGGGCAACTTTTGTCCCCCAAATAGCACAGCTTCCTGATTGATACTGTTACTGAAGGGCAGAGAGAAAGAGCGAGTTGGACATGGTGGTAGTCCATGCCTGTTATGTTAGTACTCGTGGGGCCAAGGCAGGAGGCTCACTTGATCTCAGAAGTTCAAGACCAACCTGGGCAACATAGTGAGATTCCTGTTCCAAAAGTACATGCATGCATGCGAAGGCGGTGAGAAAAGCCTGTTCCTCTAAAGGATTCTGAAGTGTAGAATCCTTCCCTTTCCCCAGAACTTCAGAAAACAAAGCTGGAAAAGAGTAGAGCAAGGCCTGTCCCTGAAGCCCACCTCCAGTGGAGCAAAGGAGATTCAATTGGCCACCTGCACTGCCAATCATGTCTGACCCAGACCAGATTGAAAATTCTGAACTTTTCATTCAGGCCTTGGGGCAAGAAACCACTTTCTCCAGAAGTAGGAGATGATTATGTAAGTTGTTTGGAGAAAGGGAGGGGGAAAGAAAGAAGGAGGGGGCTAGAGAGGGGCACGGGGGAGGGGAAGGGAGAACTCCTACAGTCTAAACACTGAGCCCAGCCCAGCACTGTCTGAATAATGTGTGATTCTAGCTATTACTTAAGGAGAAAGAAAACTCTTGGCCATGTTCTTGTCTCTTGAAACTTTTAGCCTTTTGACCATTTCGGTCAGCCAAGAGGAGCAGAGGTAATTCTTGGGGAGCCCCTCCATCTTCGCCCCCGGGCACTCTTGCTTTGTAGAGCCCTACTTCAATGGACAGAAGACAGAGAGAGCAGCCACTCTCGCAGCCTGCAATAAGGTGAACCTGAAATGCTCATTGCCACAGGAAGTTCCAATCCAGGGGCTTATCGGTTAATTCCTGCACCTACTGCCAGCGGGAAGTGGGACAAAGCTCACCACACCTTTTCCCCATGCCCCTGGGGTGTTCTCTGCCTACCAGTCATTTCTCCCTTGTTTTCTTTTAAGCTTCTCTTGTGTCCAGTGAACTTGGATCTCATTGACATGAAAGTACAAACTGCATAAGAAGAAATTTCTTATTGAGCTTCGTAAGGACTAAGACTATTTACTGATCCAACCAATAGTCAACGAGTGCCTCCAACATACTAAGAAGTGGTCCGGGCAAGGGCGTGGTCTTTAGAGAGCGCCCATTCTATGTGTGATCAAGGCACACAGAGTAGAAAGCACACAATAGACATTCAGTGACTGTTTGCTGAAAGAAAGAATAAGGGAGTGAAAGATGTACCAAAGGGGGCTACTGTGGCTCAAGGTCACTTGCGAAACCTCTAACTTTGCAAGAGTTTAGCTCTGAACTTAGGGACAGCCTTACTCTGAAGGAGACTTTCCTCAGGTTTCCACCTGCAATCCCAGAATTCAGTAGGGGGAATCAGGAGAATCAGGAAGAGTTTGAGGCCAGCCTGGGCCACATGCCTGTCTATCTCAAAGAGGGAGAAAGGCAGGCCAAGAGGCTCTAACCATAAACATCGTTCATTCGAATACCGGTGTTTCGAAAAAGAGAGTTCTTCCTGCTTCTGCCAGTCGTGATGGTACACACTGGTAGGATATTCTTAAGGACATTTACTCTTTTTCTAAATACTTTTAAAAAAATCATTATATTAAGAGAGAACATTGAAAATAGCAAAAGTAGTTTGGAGGAAGTGAGGAGCACACACTTCATAAAGGTGTGTGAATTTTTGTAACAGATGAAGTGCTGTGCCTGTCAACTAGCCATGGGCGACCTTTGTCCCTCAACCCACTGGGATGGTTTCCTCCCTGGGCCTAAGCACCTATGTATGGACAGTATTCTTTTCATCTGCTCTTTTGATTCAGATTTTTATAAAGATCTATGGCCAAAACTACCAAGTTATTAAGCACAGAAAGTTTGGCAGCTTCTGGCCAGAAAGAAGAACTTTAGAGACCTCCCTGTGAAAATACCACAACACCTTCCTCTTGGGCCTCTGTTCTGCCTGAACTCCCATGACCCATGTGCCTACCCACCCATGTCCCTTCCCACACAGATCTCTCCGACTCATGCCCCTTCTCATTCATGTCTCCCTGCTCATCCACCCTCCATGTCCTCCACCCATGTTCCCCGTACATATCCCCCATCATGTGCCACATCCATGTTCCTCCCATGTCTCCCCCCCACCCACAACAGTCCTTTATTTTAAGATCTTGCTATCATCACAGACTCATTAGTACCAATGGACATTCTAGAAGTAGCTGCTGTGTAAATAATTAGTTGTCCACTGGGCAGTGGTGGCGCATGTCTTTAATCCCAGCACTTGGGAGGCAGAGGCAGGTGGATCTCTGTGAGTTCACGGCCAGCCTGGTCTACAAGAGCTAATTCCAGGACAGTTCTCCCAAAACTACAGAGAAACCCTGTCTTGAAAAACAAAAAACAAAGAAACAAAAGAACATCATGCAGTTTCTTCCAAAGGACTCCATTTAGATCGTCTATCCTCACCCCTGCCTGGACAACTACTACATCGATACAGCAATTGGCTTATTCTAAAAGGAAATTAACAAGCCTGCAATCCAAGGTACGAAAGAGACTGCGACAGAAAGTTCACAAGTTCAACACCAGTGTAGGCTACATAGTGAGGTTCAGGCCTGGGCAACTTCATCCTGTTCAAAACAAAAGGTAAAAGAGAGAGTCTGGGATTCAGGGTGGTGAGGGTAGGGGTTCAAGCCCCAGGACTGCATAAACGAGCTGATGCCTGAGAGAACGGGGCAAGGACGTCCCAGTTCAGCTGGCTCTGATTCCCACCTGTGCTGCAGCCACCCTTGATGCTTCTGGTAGCTAGTCCTAAGGCTGTGTGCTCATTCCTTCCCTAGCTGGCTTTGAAATAAAACCCCACGGGGGGATGGGGACAGTTCAGGGGTTTAGAGCACTTCCAGGGGACCCAAGTTCAGTTCCCAGCACCCATGTCAGGTGGTTCACACCAAGTGTAACTCCAGCTCCGGGTAATTAATGGCTGTTCTGACCTCTGCAGGGTCTCACACGCATAGGGCACGTACACACACACACACACACACACACACACACACACACACACACACACACACACACACACACACACAAAGAGAGAGAGAAAGAGAGAGAGAGAGAGAGAGAGAGAGAGAGAGAGAGAGAGAGAGAGAGAAATACACATACAGAAATAAAAATTAATCTTGGTGCTGGGGAGATGGGAACCAGTTAAGAGCACTTGCAGCTCTTGCGGAGGAGTCAGGTTCAGTTCCCAGCAGCCATATCCAGTAGCTCACAGCCACCTGTAACTTAGGTTCCAAGGAATCCAACACCTTCTTCTGGCCCGCAGGTGGCAAGTCTTTATATAAATTCCTCATCTGACGAGCACACGATGGACAGCTACTGAACCCAGATGTTCTGAGTACCTGAGGAACCTTAGTGAGCACAGAAAATCGTGGGACTTCATAAGTTAACTCCAGGCTGCAAACTGTATGATGGCCACACTCTGATGTGAAATCCTGCGAGGTGCACCATTGATTCTTCGCCACTCATGGCTGATGACCTCACTGACAGAGAAATAGGCAATCTGTACCGAGCCTGGCGGTGAAGACCTGTAATCCCTGCTAGGAAGGAGGTGGAAACCTGTGAGATTCTTCTGAGGGTTGAGCCTTAATGGTCCACTCCCCGTTTCTTCTAAGGCGTGGAGTTATCAGTTCTGAGAGAAAGACAGGGCCCGTCTCATTCAGAGGCCAGCTCTCAGAGAGGAAAACCACAGGCTCACACCCCTCTCGGTGGGTCAGACCTTTCTTAGCTGTCATTAGGAAAGAAGCCCAGCGAATGAAAATCCACTGCTCGCTGCATCTGTTATTGCGTGGATGGGGTATTGAAAACTCTGGGCTAGAGAGGGAGAGCTGCTATGTAATAAAGTTGTTCTCGTTTGGATGAAAACAAAGAGTGTTTATGGTTAGCTGGGCGCACGCCTTTAATCCCAGCACTTGGGAGGCAGAGGCAGGTGGATCTCTGTGAATTCGAGGCCGACCAGTCTGGTCTACAACCTGAGTTCCAGGATGACCAGGGGCTGTCAAGAGAGAAACCTTGTATGGAAACAAAACAAAACAAAAGGAGAGTGTTTACGGCTGAAGGAGGAAGCTCCCGTCACAGTCTTCTGTAACAGGATGCCCAGCAGCCTGCATTAGCTCTAACTTAATCCACTACGCCACCCAAGACCCCAGGTAACCACTTTAGCCACTCTGACCCACTGTCTCTTCCTCTAAGGCCAGCCACATGCACGTCAGCACCATCCTGTCAGCTGCCTGGCAGGTTGCCTAGTACCCAGAAGACACTGACATTTGTTTCCCTTGTTCTGGGTAAAAAAAATTAAAAAAAAAAAGGCAGATAAGGCAGAGGAAATGGAACAGCCCCTGTGAATAGAGCCCTGAGCTCTACGAAGGCCTCTGCACTTGTTCTGAAAATAATCATGAAGTCAGATGCTCTTGCCTCTATTAACTCGTAGGTGGATAGCCTGACTCCCACCAGGAGATGGAAGCATACAGTGGGCCCTGTAAGGGAAGTATGATGCAAAGGGT